ACCATCATCATCACCACTATCATTATCATCACCATGACCACCATTATCACCATGACCACCATCATCACCATTACCACCATGATCACCATGACCACCATGATCACCATGATCACCATGACCACCATCATCACCATGACCACCATCATCACCATGACCACCATCATCACCATGATCATCACCATACCATGAACACCATGATCATCACCATACCATGACCACCATTATCACCATGACCACCATGATCATCACCATACCATGACCACCATTATCAACATGACCACCATGATCATCACCCAGACCACCATCATCACCATGACCATCATCATCACCATGATCACCATGACTACCATCATCACCATTATCACCATGACCATGACCATTACCACAAACTTACATTCATCTTTCTTCTATCATGTTAGGTGGTCTTTTAATAGCTATGACTCATGAAGATGCTGTGTCATTTTGTGAAGCTTTCCAAAAAGAAGATGGTCACTCAGCATGGATAATTGGCAAAGTGGTTAAAGGCACAAGAGATGCAACAATTGACAACAACGTCAATATTATTGAAGTGTAGAAAGCTTTAGAATGAATGACAATTGACGAGTTTCAGTAAGCTTTAAAGGACAGCAGATCGTGGTCAACTTTGGAAATGTTCACTCTAATAAGAGCAAGCCAATTTAACTAAATATCTTGTACTTTTTTGCTACCATACCACATATAACCAAACAGTCTTTTCTCATTCAAGTAATTGCCAGTTGACCACCATTTGCCGCACATAATGCCTTAGTGAAACTCACTTACACAGATTTATATAACAAATGTTAATAATAATTATCCAATGATCATAAAAAACTTTTGATGAATTTTAAAGTTTCAATCAGATCTTACCTGTCTATAATGATGTTACCTTGGGAAAGTACAATACATGTAACTCAGCGTAATTGAAGATTTTTTAGACTTGGGTTGGACTTTGTTGAAGCTTTACCATTAATAAATATGATACAATGACATGTCTTGTGTTTTAAAATTCTTGTGTTTTAAAATGACTTTGTTAACACTTAATTTGGCTGACGAACGTGAAATAGTCTCGATGTACAAGGCAACATAACAGAAATATACATTTATGTACAAAACAGAAGCTAACAGGTTTCAATGTACAATTTACCGGTAGTTCTTTAACCTTCGACAATAGTTCTATGTAACAAGAGGCTGAGAACACCTCCTCTTTGAGTCAACGCCAGTCGAGTGTGTTTTTCTTGTTCGTACGCTTCTTCTAGTTTCAGCCACTAAAACAAGACATTCAGTTATTTATTTAGTCCCACACTGTTGACACTTTTAGGCGAGGGAAAATGAAACTACATCTTTCAATACGATCTATCTGTCATCAAATGCAAGGCAACTACATATAAGGAAAGTAACTGACATTGTTTTCTCATTCTGATAACTGTATGTTGAGTCGTTGACTACCATCTGTCGTACGATAGTGCTTAGCAAAACATCATCATTCTCTGATATCTCCTCAAGGGAAGTCAGGCCTACTTGTCACAACATTTGATTGTTTTCTATCCAAAACTAACTCTTCCTTGATGTTATTTCTATCTATTTTAACCCAACTACTTAACCCCTTTTCACTGCACTGCACAACCAAAGTATGGAGGTTCAGATTTGACTTACTGCTCCACACAGTAAGGGGACCATCAACCAATCAGATGCGTTTGATATACCCGATTGACCAATCAGATGCGAGCTAAGCCAGTGAGAGATAGTGGTGATGGTAGTGGAAATCTGAACCTCGACAATATCCTGCGTTCAAACCAGTACGTTTTAATACACGCTTTCGATAATTACGTCACACATACTTTTTGGTCTTGGAGCCTCGCTCTCATTAGTAAATTACATAAGGTGATTGGCTCACGATTCATGAGAGTGAGGCTCCCAGGTCAAATGGCGTAATTATCGAAAAGGTGCATTGAGATACTTTACCTGTCGAACTCTTTCGCCGTCAATTTGAGCTCGCCGTAGTTTCTCCCAGCAATAATGTCGGACACAGTTCCTCTTTGAAACACAACACAAGTCTTTCGTCTCTTCTAGCTGATCGTTACTCAATGGACACCCACAGACTTCGTGTGGTGAAACCTGAATACGTGGCGAACAATGTTTATTTATTATTTTATATAAAGTATAGTGCTTTATAGAGATTTCGAGCACTGATAAAACTGATAATCTCACATGTGAGATTATTTATATCATATACTCGTTGGCTGCGCTCACTCTTGAGATATCATGTTCAACACTCGAAATAAACCTGTTATTTCCGCGCACCCATGTATTATTCACTATTTAATAAAATGATGAATTATTGCATTATTCATTGGTCAGATTATACTAAAGGTATCTTTATGTGAGCTATCTCTCTAACCTTTGGTTCTTTTGTGTGTTCAGGACACAACACGCGAAGTCTTTTACAGTACGTCTTTTGTTGTGAGTTGTAGAAGTCACAGAACAAATTACTAAATAAAAATAATATTACTATTGACAACAAATACATTCAAAACTGCAAATCAGTTATAGAAAACTTACCCAACACTTTTAAAATTTGATCCAAACGATGTAAAAGACTCGTTCTATAACAGTGTTGGTAAAAATGAAATTAAATCAGTAATATTCAAACCATATAATTAACATTAACTTAAATATAATAATGTTACCTTCATGTAACATTTTTCCATGTGTCGTAACGCAACTTTCGGCATTAACGCGATCCCACAGGTGACACAGTGAATGTTCAGATCAATGTCTGTATCTTGCTCGCTTTCCGTGTCCTAAAAAGAAAACATAATTCAAATCAAAATTCAGTGCAATGTTGTTGTACACTTATTCGTATGGTTATGACACTAGCATCATTTAAATGGACTTTTCTGTATGTAATGAGCACGAGTGACTGACAACAACCTGAACTTAAATGAAAGATCATTTCACACCTCTTCTGTGTCAGCTGTGAGATGCGAGGCTCTTTCTAAGATCTCGTCCAACTCTTTGCTTTGCTGGTCGAGTTCCATCAGTCGCGTACGAGTATTCTAAACACAAAACAATATTAGTGATTATTGCATATCAATATTTTGCGGATTTTTAGTGCAGTTTTGATGATACCGTGGCACGGTGTGTCTTTCACTTTTGCGACTGGGGTTCAATTCCTCTAAAAATAACATTCTCGGTCGCGTGTTAGAAGACTGTTTAGACTCTACCGAAAAGCAAACATTGGGCTAGGCGAAAAGTTTCTTGACAACTAAGTGCAATGAAGTAATGGTCAATAAAAGCAAAAGTCGCTGGCTCATACCTCTTGTATTTTTTTAAGTCTCTCCAATTTCTCTTCAGCCCGAGTGTTTGCTACACAAGACGTTTCATTCCATTCCTTAACTCGTCCTGGGAGAATTTCTTGTATTCGCCTGAAGTAACAAATCAACTAAGATTACTGGCTGAACCATAACACAATTTATAAATGGTACCACACTACCATCTAGTGACAATACTGTGAGCACAACCACCATCATACACATCATCACCATCATTATCATCAACATCATCACCACCACCATCATCACCATTACCACCACCATTTTCATCAGTCATCACCACCATCATCACCACCACCACCACCATCATCACCATTACCACCACCATTTTCATCAGTCACCACCATTTTCATCAGTCATCACCATTACCACCACCATTTTCATCAGTCATCACCATTACCACCACCATTTTCATCAGTCATCACCATTACCATTACCACAATCATCATCACAGTTACCACCACCATTTTCATCAGTCATCACCACCATCATCACCACCACCACCACCATCATCATCAGTCATCACCACTACCACCACCATTTTCATCAGTCATCACCATTAACATTACCATTACCATTACCATTACCACAATCATCATCACAGTTACCACCATTATCATCACCATCATCATCACCATCATCATCACAGTTACCATCATCATCACCACAACCATCTCCATCATCACCATCACCACTACCATCACTTTGGTGAAGAGCAAAAGAAAAATCACTTAGGTTTTTGGGAGGTAAAAAAATGAAATGACCACTTCTAATGAATATTTCTCTTCCCATTCTTAGTTCTCATCCAGTATTTACCTAACAGCAACTTGTATACCACACTCATGGCTACAATACTTCGAATTGGGCCTTGCACGTTTCTGACATTGTGGGCCATAACATTGCCTCGGCAGTTCCACTGTTTGTCTTGTTCGTTCTGAATAAAGCCCCGACGTTTCTCTTGAAGCAAGTCTTTTACGTCGACGTTGTTCTTTCCCGCTTAACTGACGTTTTAGCTAACGAGAAAACAAAACAGTTTGTCTTAATATTATCTTTTCAACAAGAAGCTTAAAGGAAACGTTTATAGTCTTCGCTCGAAACGCTGAAGTTTTGCTTGTATTTTTCAGGTAAACAAGCTTTCTTTGGTAGGGATACAACTACCTGAAAAATATAAGGAGAATTTCGACGTTTCGAGCGAAGGCCCTTCGTCTGGAGTTACTAATCAACTATGTAGTCGTCTTTTTTTGTATTTGGGATCGCGCTACTGTGTCCTGATCAGGCCTCGAATTTCCCTGAAATCAATCGATGGCAATAGCGTTAAAAATTGCCGTAGAACGTAACAGCTGTCTACGGCAATTTTGGCAGTTTCCACGGCATTTTTCAAATTACTGTAATAAAACTTTGAATTTTATTGTTACTTTGGATTTTTGACAAGCCAGAAACATGTCTACGTATTTCTTTAGTGTTTTTTTTTCGAAGAGAACTGAGACTAAAATAGTGATTTACGCATGATTTGATCGACATCTGAATTCAAGTATCAAAGTAGATTAAATGCACAGTGACTGATAGTATAAAAATTGCAATATAAGGCAAAAAATTGCCGTCGTTGCCGCAATGATCAACGGCATTTTGTTCTCCCTCCACGGCAATTGCCGCGATAAAATTCGAGCCCTGGTCCTGATGTACTTACTTTTTGCTCCTTTCCTTGCAAGTGTCTAGTGTGTTTCAACTTGATTGCGTGTTTCTTGTTACTCGGTCCTCCAAAATCTTCATGACGCGTCTACAGAAGGACACCAAAAAGCCACCATGTAAATGTGATGTACAGTATCTGTACAGGTCGTTTGGCAGACAAGGGTTATCTACTCGGACAAACTTGCAGGCAGGGACGCCGGAACTGGGGGGCAGGAGGGGCAGCCGCCCCCGTTGCCCTTTACCAGGAGGGGCAAAGGTGCCCTTTCAATTTAAAGGATTGCCTTGGCGAAATAGCGAATTGTCAGAAATGTTAGTGCAATTCTTCTACGAATTTGCTTCAGAAAACGCAAGAAATGCAGTTATCGAGCTTCAAGAAAGCACAATCGTCTGGCGGAGAACCCCCTCACAACCCTATCATCCAATGAATAGAAAACATGATTAGGCGAAGTTCAACTCCTGATGTTTTGCAAACATGTCTTAGTATATATCAAGTCAAAAGTGTCCTTTCACGAAAATTTGCCCCCCTTGCCTTCACATCGTTCCGGCGTCCCTGCTTGCAGGCATACAGTAGAAAACTTTTGCCGTAGACACGAGCGAATAAAACTTGTCTTGAAAGAAAAACGTAACATTGCTTTCAAACATACTGAACCTTACTTACCTTAGGTTCACGGATCTTCCTAACTTTTCTTTGTGGCTCTTCGTCTTTTGAACTTCCGTCTTGAGCATTTAAATGCTAAAGAATTTGTAAGATTAACAATTATATTAAATAAAATCTTGCCAATTAAGCTTATTAAAAATTGCATATAACCCAAAGGTTATTTTACTGTACCACAGATTTAGTTAAGCACTGTCTCAAACGACATTTTTGCCGCTTCTTGTTTGGACCACCAAACTTTCGCATATCCTGGTAAAGAACAAAATGTCATAATTAGTGAATACATTTTCAGCTACGCTTGCACAGACCTTCAAGTTTATATTACAGTAGTGTTTACTATATATCAAATATTTACCAGACAGTAGTCACATTTCCCACAATCCTCCTGGATCTTGCAAGCTGTACATTGACCACATTTCCGACTGCTTCGTTGTTTTGTCTGTAAAGAGAGAACAATGGACCATTTGCATTATAGACTAAATTTTGATCTAGACAAAAATTTCACCACAGCTTGAAAGAGCATCACAAAATTAGGAATATTCCAAAGTTTCGTTGCAAAATGTTGTAAAATGCGGATAATATAGCCATGCGAAGTTTGCCGTTTTTCAGTCATTTTGTATTACGCACGGGAAATTGACAGCCCAATTCCCATTTGTAATGCAAAATGACTGAAAATTGCAAATTTCGCAAGGCTATATTATCCGCATTTTACAACATTTCGTAACGAAACTTTGGAATATTACTAATTTTGTGATGCTCTTTCAAGCTGTGATGAAATTTTTGCCTAGATCAAAATTTAGTCTATAATGCAAATGGTACATTGCAACATTAAGGGTCATCATGTAACATATACTGCTCAGACATTCTAATATGATTGCAGTTTTGTGGATTCCAAATGCATTTCTAACACATCCCAAATAAATTGTGATGAAATCGAGGACTAATATTTGTGGCAGTACTGTTCTAAAACGCTATGTATTCAAATCATTACTAAGTTGTTCAGTAAAATACCTTAGTGTGTTCATCAGTTTCGTCAGTTTCTTGATAAGATTCACTGGTTTTTTCTTTTGATTTCTTGAATTTTGTTTCAAGGCTTGGATTCTTTTCTTTGAAAAGAGAAGAAAATTTGAAAATAATTTTACAGTCATAGAATAGAGCACACAAATCTGACACACATTTCAAAATGTTCCTGGTACCTTGACAGGCATGACAGAAGAATTGTTTAATTTTCTTGGCATCTTTTTTCGTAATTCCAATACATGAACCATGATACCATTCATCACATGCGTCACAGCCACTGGTGAGATTATGCACAAGAGGTTATTAGTCAGTGTATATATATATATATATATAGGGCAGGGAAAAAGAATTTTCTTCCTGGAAGCACAACCTGGAGACAAAAATTTCCTGCAGACCAACAGAGTATTTTTGTGCTAAATCTGCATGTGCATAAACATATAGTGTTCTAGCTGTCCATGGTTTTAAATTCAAGGAATGTCTTCCAACCATAGTGGGACATGGGTGTTAAGATTTCCTTCAAATTTTCAATGGCAAATATTCATTCAAAGGAATTTCCTGCAGCTGTTTAACATTTCCTGCAATCAGTGCTCATGTGCTCGCCTATTTTTTCCACCCCTGAGTATATACACTGTATATATACTTTTTGTATGAAGTGTGATGGGATTATTTTACTAAGCTTTGTGTTATCAATGATTTTCATGAAAAAAACTTTTAAGAAATAAAGTTGCGACTGGAGTAAGAAACATCAGTAAGAAATATTTCTCTGGGAATAAACATAATTTGTGAATTGATTGTTTGTGTGAATGGATTGTGCCTCGATAATGTATTTTGCCATTTGTCCTACAATCAAAGACTGGCAATTTAATTCTGCAATAAATTTAAACTTACATCATAAATTTATCAACATCTGGTCTTCGACATACACAATATAACATCTCCTTCTAAAATGTCAACAATTTACGGAATGTAGTGTTCGTTTTCTGTTTAATTTAATTCATTATAAATACTCTATGGAAACCATAATTTTTGGCTACCTCATATGCTGGGGTGACCTCTATATATACTGGAGCAAGAACGTCAGTCATTCAGCCTGAGAAAAGTGAAGCCAAGATAGTGGCCATTGACATCCATCAGCCCCATCATGGCACAGAATAGAGACCCCACAGAAGACAGCCTTCTTAGTTTTGCCTATGATTTTAGCATTACCATTGCACTTCTGTTGCCATGTTCCTAGCTAGTGCTGACAAGAGGCATTCACCCCCATTAAAAAATGCCTCTCGTAGGTGCACTGGCTTTGAACACGGTGAGTGTAATTTGATGAGGAATCATGGCGGGGCAGGAGTTATGCATTTTTGGCTGACTCACGGTGAGTGTAATTTGATGAGGAATCATGGCGTGGCAGGAGTTATGCATTTTTGGCTGAGTCAGTCTTCCATAAGGTCTCTATTCTGTGAGCTAGGCGTTACTTTCTGGACTCACGTTCTCACTCCAGATACATATATGGAGCTCAGTGCACATGCTAAACAAAAGGACAGGCAAAGTCTGGAAGATGCACACACCTGCTCTCCATGTTGACTTTCAATGATGACCTTGGGGGAACTTTCATGCCCACTTTGTCCACCTTCCCGTACACTCTGTCCAGTCTCCTGTACACCATGTCCTGCTTCCTGTTCACTTTGTTCAGTCTCCTGTGCACTTTGCTCTGTTGTAGGTGCCGATGTGCAGCAATAGTTATGGTCTCCATCAAACGTAGTAAGAAACCCTGTGTGGCCTTCAGAATCTGTTGCATCACTTGGTTTGGCAGACGTTGAAGCTTCGTTACTTTGGGAAATGTTTGACTCAGAGGGAACAAAGTTGCTCAGAATGTCGACATCTTCACTCTCGTCAGCGGATTCAGTCGCGTCTGATTCCATGCCAGGGGTTTCATCCTGCTGTTGGGAAAGACAAATAGAATCATAACATTTCTCGATAGCTATATCAACTAGTTGTATTCAAATTGTTATATATCAATTAATCTTTCATTGTCCATATATGAACAAAGAATGCTGAGTGCTAATACCAATTAATTGTTAGGTAGAGCATTGCAAAAATTATGCAGTTTATCTTCAAATAAAGTTATTAAGTTTACAATCGCCGAAAGATCGCTGTGAAGCATGGAACACTGTGTAGTGATAACTTTATTTTATGATTAACCAACTACTTAAAAAATACAGTTATATTACGTCTAGAGTATATTTTGGCATTTTGACAATAATTTATAAAATATTTTGCTGTTAAACTACAAACGATCATGAGATTTTCACATGCTATGACCGTGCACCATTACTTATACTTACAGAAACAACGTCGATTAACGTATCATCACTTTCCATAATTGAATATTTTCAAGTAAAATCAATCACTTCTTTCCCACTTTCAAAACACATTCTGCCGCCATATTTGTTTGCTGACAACCAGGGAGGGGAGGTCTAGTCGTCTTTTGTCATTATATGGAAGAATAATCTTTTGAGGTAAAGGCCTCGTGTGGGTAGGGGGGTTATTACAGGGCCATACGCAGTATTTTTTTTCACCAGGGGGCAGTAAGGCCTATGGTAAGGCCTATACTATATGCCGACAAAAGTCCCAAATACACAAAGAATAATTAATGTCATTCTAAAAATCGTAAATATAGTTTTCTCTAGGGGGGCAGTTGCCCCCCCCCCCCCCCCGCCGCTGTGTACGGCCCTGGGCAATTATTATTACACTTCAACTTACCGCTACCATTAATGGACAATTAACCAATCAAATGTGTTTGATATATCCGACTAACCAATTAAATGCGGTATACTAAGCCAGTGAGAGGTAGTGTGGGAAGTCAAAATCTGAATCTTTCTGGTGAGGAAAAGCGAAAATGGAATATGGGAACTGGGCTCATTTTTGGTCAGGGAAGAAAGCCACATTTTTTTCGTTAATGCTCGTTACCTTGCACGCCACCATTCTGCAACTTTAACACCTATAATTATTTCAAAAAGGCTTCTTTTGTCACGTACGAATCATACAAATGCAAATAATTTTTAATTTGTTTTGCAAGAGTTGCAAGAGCTCTTGTCTGTCATTGTCACATGTGGCAGCCCGCAGCCATATCGAGTAAGATACAATATCACGCAACAAGCAAACAAAAGCATTTTAAACATTGGGTTTGGGGCGAAATAAGTCCATAAGGCAACATATTACAATGATTTGGCGAACAGTAATCATATTGTGTTGCATATTGTTGCAACAAGTCACTGCGGAGCCAACAATATGGGATTTATTCAATTGGAAAATTACACTACAAAGACAGCGACAAGACGAAATTACTCTAAGAGGTCTTATTGAAGCAAGCGTAGCACAAGATGATGTGAAAATTCCTGGAGCAACCTGCAGTGAGAGTCAAGAATGGACAGGCGAAACAGGTCTTCCTGGATTTCTTATGCAATGCAAGTGTAATTTAAGCAGGTCGACCTTTGCTCCAGAACTCATGAGTTGTGTGGCAAACAGTGAAATTAAACGAGGTATTGGTCTAATTAATATCAGAGATGGATGGTCATGGATCATCAGCCCAGAGTATAAATGATATAGAAGTCCGACTCATCCAAAAACCCGTGACAACAGGCACGCCATGATCTGCAACAGCAAAGTACTGGTCAAGTTCTGGTCTGCGAACCCAGACCAGACGTCATTTCCCCCGCTAGCTCATTGTTAATTTCCGGGGCCGGTTCTTCAAAGCTGGACTAGCGCCTCACGGTTAAAATGTTAGTTTGTGCATTGCTACTTGTTTCAAAACTTCAGAAGAGAAAACTTCTGTTCATCCAGACAAGATTTCTGGTGAAATATTTCCAAATTTATAAACAAGCTATAGTTGTGGGGAAGTTTGCTTTGAACTAATCGGCTTTCGAACAACGAGCCCCCGAGCGAAAAATGAGCATGATTATAAAATGCGTATTAATTAAGCCAGTGAGAGATAGTGGAAATCAAATCTTAACCTATCTAGTGTTTATTCTTTGTCATCAGTTATAGTGAGTAGGAAGCATTATCATATCAGTGTCTTAGAGTAAAGCACACAGGAGTAAACATAAGACGAACTACTAAAGACGAACGAACTAGAATAGCATACTCTATAATACGACATCTATGCGAACCATGCAAATATTGATCCAAACATCCAAGTGGTCCATTGAATGTTTTGCCAAAAAATGTTTGATTTAAGTAGACAGATTCACGGAAGATGTCTCTGTGATTTAGTAATTTGTGGACGTGGCAGACAAGTTAAATTTGTTTGACTTAAAAATTCAAACAAATTACAGTCATTGTTCGTCACAAATTGGCTCGTCGTCAAACTAGGACACAATTAAGAAAATATCAAAATTTTCAGATATAATTCCCCGACAATTTTTCAGTTATTAATTTGCCCATGAGGACATAGACTGCCAAGTATCTCCTTTCTTGACATCCTAAAGACCTGTTGACACTTGCAAATTTTGCTGCGATTTTAGGTGCCGGATTTTCTTCTTCAGAAGAAGAAAATCGCACCTAACATTGCAGCAGAAATTTCAAATTATCATTCCACTTCCTTTAAAAGGATGTCAATTTACGACCGGATCTTGGCGCTGGAGTACAAGTTGGACATGGGACACAGTAGATGACGCATTGATAGTGCTGGATAAGAAGCATGATTATGGGATCGCGACTGGATTTAATGTTTCTACCATGGACTATCAATCATGTTCAGTGGAGTCCCTCCGTTACTGGGCGGAAGATATGAACTGGACGGAGGCGTCATATTTTTTCAGTTATTCCAAACCAGTGATGTTTAAATTGAATAATATGTGGCATCTTTCATGGGTGAGTGATGTTTTTGTCGAAGTCTCTGAGATTTCCATAACAAATTCAGAATCATGTCTGTTTGTGATTTTGTTACAGAAATGTTTCCTGGTTTGTCCTCCTTCGGGGAACATGGCCAGGAAACAATGTTTCCTGGTTTGTCCACCTTCGGGAAACATGGCTAGGAAACAATGTTTCCTGGTTTGCCCACCTTCGGGAAACATGGCTAGGAAACAATGTTTCCTGGTTTGCCCACCTTCGGGAAACATGGCTAGGAAACAATGTTTCCTGGTTTGCCCACCTGGTTTGCCCACCTTTGGGAAAAATGGGGAAACATGGCTAGGAAACAATGTTTCCTGGTTTGCCCACCTTCGGGAAACATGGCTAGGAAACAATGTTTCCTGGTTTGCCCACCTTCGGGAAACATGGCTAGGAAACAATGTTTCCTGGTTTGCCATGGCACCTTCGGGAAACATGGCTAGGAAACAATGTTTCCTGGTTTGCCCACCTTCGGGAAAAATGGCTAGGAAACAATGTTTCCTGGTTTATCCACCTTCGGGAAACATGGCTAGGAAACAATGTTTCCTGGTTTGCCCACCTTCGGGAAACATGGCTAGGAAACAATGTTTCCTGGTTTGCCCACCTTCGGGAAACATGGCTAGGAAACAATGTTTCCTGGTTTGCCCACCTTCGGGAAACATGGCTAGGAAACAATGTTTCCTGGTTTGTCCACCTTCAGGAAACATGGCTAGGAAACAATGTTTCCTGGTTTGTCCACCTTCAGGAAACATGGCTAGGAAACAATGTTTCCTGGTTTGTCCACCTTCAGAAAACATGGCCAGGAAACAATGTTTCCTGATCTGTCCACCTTCAGGAAACATGGCTAGGAAACAATGTTTCCTGGTTTGTCCACCTTCAGGAAACATGGCTAGGAAACAATGTTTCTTGGTTTGTCCACCTCAGGAAACATGGCTAGGAAACAATGTTTTCTGGTTTGTCCACCTTCAGAAAACATGGCTAGGAAACAATGTTTCCTGGTTTGCCCACCTTTGGGAAACATGGCTAGGAAACAATGTTTCCTGGTTTGCCCACCTTTGGGAAA